TTGCTGTAACGAACATGTTTCTTTCCAAGAGTGCGATCCTGTTAATAAGTCGTCCATATAAAAATCTTGCTGTAGCACCTTAGACGCTATTAGATATTTGTCCTCTTCTTGAACGGCTAATTCCTTTAAACATCTGATTGCAAGAAACGGGGCCGAGGCTGTGCCATATGTTAGTGTGTTCAATCTATATACTTGAATGTCTTCTTCACTTGGCTCTCCATAAGATCCTTTGTAGGTCTCTATCCTTTTTTCTCACTAAGACTTGTCGATACATCATTTCCAAATCTGCAGTTAGGACATACTGATGAAGCCTAAACTTTAGCAGTAATTCAAATAAAGTGTCTTGCAGAGCTGCTCCTACTAATAACTTGTGGTTCAGAGACACTCCTGATTCAGATCGAGCGGACGCATCAAATACTACTCTTAGTTTGCTTGTCAAGGCATTATCCTTTATTACTGGATGGTGTGGTAAATAATAAGTATTCGATGAGTCCCCTGATTCGTTCTTTTCGACTAGTGACATGTGGCCAAGTAATTGATATTGTTCCATAAATTTTACATATTCTTGCTTTATTTCCGGCTGTCGTACAAACCTTTTTTCTAACGCATGTAGTCTCTTCAAAACCACCTTACGCGAATCTCCAAGAGAAACGTCTTCTCGCTGAGACAGTCCGACAATGAATCGACCTTCTGAATTTCGCTAAACTGTTGCTCTAAACTGCTCTTCACATTTTTGCTCCTCTGGCGAGTAATACTTCTGTTCGCTAATTTCATCTGCTTGTCAAAATTTTTCCAACTGTTGGCTCAACTCATTATTAGTTAATATATTGCATATTGTGTTGCTACTTCCTTGTGAGCTCATTAGCTGCCCTCCTAGTATCCAACCCAGTGTCGTGTCTTGTAGCCTTGGTTGTCCTGGCAGTAAATCAACGTGTTTATCTCTTAGTATGCGCCATTATTCAAACCGTCTGGCTTCGTTTCTTTTTGTCTTTCTGTTTCCCTTGCATGCTCTATATGTAACAGGGAATTATGCTTACCCTTACAAATTTTACATCCAGATGCTCTGCATTCTTTAGTCTAAAGACCCTTTCGAAAACAATTGAGACACAGCTTTAATTGCTTTATTTCCTTAACTCGCGATTCTGCAGGTAATTTTAGCAACTTATCGCAACTAAATATCCGATGTGTGCCCTTGCAATAATCACACTC